CTTTTACCCCTACATTATTTTGTTAACATTATGCATCAGTTATTTGAAAAATATTGTTCCATTGCATTAAGCAGATTTTCTAAATGCTGATGCATTTTATCTTACAATATTAGAGGAAATCGCATTTGTTAACATCACCACTGATCATCAAAAAATGTCTGCCAAATAAACATACACAAGTCTTGAATAATCAGTCTGTCAGTTGCTGTCTCAGGTAAAAATCTTCTTCCATGAAAAAAGTGGCTCTTTCAGGTTACTACGCAATCACAAAATGCTTTTTCAAAATAATACCATCTTATTTTAGAATGTAGCAGAAGTACTTTGTGACATCCTGTTTTGTTACATAGAATATTAAAAACGACTTGTACTCAAGGAGAGAGAGTGAATAAAATTAATATTTTTTAGTGCTTTATTAAGGGCATTCATAATTAAAATTCATTTTTCTTTTAAATTCAAGTGGATGGATGTGAAGAATACAGTGGTTACTAGTAAAAATTTAGCCTTGATTTGTAGTAAAACACTAGGAGCTTTGCCCACCTTTGCCTTTGCGCCATTGGTGTAATGTTGGTCAAGTGAAAAGGCAGATACTGTCGTAGTAGTTTTAAGTATGTCTTATTGTTTATATAGGGAATGCTTGTGGTGCAGTTGGTTAAGTGCTCGGCTCCTAACCAAATATTGGTGGTTTGAACCCACCCAGCGACTCTGTGGGAGAAGGTTGTGGCGATCTGCTTCTGTAAGATTACAGCCAAGAAAACCCTATGGGGCAGTTCTCCTCTGTCACAGGGGGTCACTGTGAGTCGAAATCAACTTGATGGTACCTAACAACAACATTGTTAATAAGACAAGTAATTTTGACTTTGGGCACTCTGGGTAGGTCTTGGAGACTCCTAGTGTTCGGTGGACCACACTTTGAGAACCCTTGTTATAATGTAATGCTGATTTGATACGTGGTTCTAGGAAATATTCATACTTTGCTTACTTTTTTTGGTTGTCTGTGAATTTAAGTTGATTTAAGTGACGAGCTTTCAGGAATACATGTACGTAATTCTTTTAATGATACGGCGCACATTCTTATAAACACTGTAAGGGTGAAGTAACCTTTTTTTAGGCATTGACTGTTGGAATTCTTGAAGAATGAAGGCACCTCGTGAAGGTTGAAATTTTATAAACCCTGTTTTGGCAAAATTTTAAAGGCCAGTCCAACCACTTACTACCTGTGTGACTATGAATAAGTTATTTAACAGCTTGGTGCCTCAGTTTTATCATCACTAAAATAGGAATAACCGTAGACCTACCTCATAGGGTTGCTATAAGATTAACTGAATTAATAAATATAAAACTGAGATTTAATCATATGCCATCATTTTATTGCACTGTGGTCTTTTGACATTTTGGTTACGTTTAAGTTGTTTCTTGGTGGTGCAGTGGTTATCCCGCTTGGCTGCTAACCAAAAGGTCTATGATTCGAACTTAACGGCCACTTTGGTAGAAAGATGTGGCACTCTGTCTGCTTCAGTAAAGATTACAGCCTTGGAAACCCTGTGGGGCAGTTCTACTCTGTCCTGTAGGGTTGCTGTGAGTTGACATCAACTCGATGGCAACGAGTTTGGTTTTTAAGTTGTTTCAGCTTAAACCAGGACTTTTAAGTTTTGGTAAAGTAACAAAGCATCATTTTATATATCTGTGTGTATATATACACACACACACATATATATAACAGTTGTTATGTAGCCATTCTAATTTAAAATATATTAAAAGTAACTCATGGGAGAAGTAGAGGCCTTGTATATGGCTTGTTGAGTGGGCACATAGTTGTATTGAACTTTTTCAAGTGATAACCTCTTATTGATATTTGATATATCAGGTTATTGTGAGAAATACTGTCTTAATTTCAGCTTACAAACTACCTTCATATATTTTGTGCTGCTTTTGCATTTTACTAGAAGTATATAGTATTGATTTATAAAGAGTAATGGCAACCCGAAAATATGACTAGGAAGCTGAAAGTGGTTTTTTTGCTCCTTCTAAAATATTTACAAAATGGTCTGTCATAATATTGTACTGTCTTTTTTAAAACTTAATGAAACTGTAAAATAGTATTCAGTATTTTTCTTTAAAGAAGTGTCATTACTAAATAAAATTTATGTATACTTAGTGAAAAATACTCTAATATTTATACAACATGAATTGATATTTTAATATAGTGATATGCCCACTCATGAAATATTTTAAGACATTCTTATTATCTCAAGAAAGATATTCTAGAACTGGAAGCAGTTTTTAATAGAACATCAGAAAGAGAATACTGTTGGAGAGGTGACTTAAAACCATAGACCTCTTCAGTAGGTAAACAGATTTTCTACCAAATTCTGTTCATGAACAAAATGGATTTAAGAATAATGAAAGTAGTAATCTTTGTGAATAATAAAGCTGAACTTTGCTATTCCAGAAAGTGATAGGTAGAGCTGGAAGTATGAAAAAATTATAAAGAAGTGATATCTTTCACACACATCCCATCCCACCCCACGCCACCCACCCCATCCCCAAAAAATGAGTCATAGACATCCAGTTCGTGTGTTAGGGTATGTAAGGGGTGTTTGGAAATTGAAGTTACAAACAGCAAATAATTACCCCCTATTAGTGGTAGGAACCCTGGTGGTGTGGTTCCTACCCAGTAATAGTGGTATGAGTAGTTAAGAGCTGTGACTGCTGACCATAAAGGTCAGCAGTTTAAATCTACCAGCTGCTCCTTGGAAGTCCTATGGGGAAGTTCTACTCTGTTCTGTAGGGTCCCTATGAGTTGGAATTGACTCGAGGGCAATGGGTTTTTTGTTTTAGTGGATAGATATTACATTGTTAACCTTTCAGGATAAATCCAAAAGTAAAAATATGAATTAAGCCCTTGTCCCCAAAACAGTCATGATTATAAAATTGATGTATATAGTATTGGAATGTAACTAGCTTCTGAACAAGTATCTATAATAAATAATACCTGGATGATTTTGGGCATGCTGAAACAGTCTTCACTTTATCAGTAGGTTCTTAGTAGTGATGAGTAAATGACAACTGGGTTTGGTTTATTGATAGTAGTGATAAATGTGATTATGAAATAGTTTTTTCATATGATGCTTGATCAGTAGTTTATTTTATAGTCTTTTTCTACCCCCTCAGGTCAGTAATAGTATCCTTTAATAATCAACAGTTTTATGAGAGGAGACATTTTTTTCTTTCTTTTTTTTTTTTAATTGTACTTCAGGTGAAGGCTTACAGAACAAAGTTTCTCATGAAACAGTAGTACACATGTTGTTTTATGACATTGGTTAACAACCCCAC